TTTATCTGCAGCTCCATGGCATCCCTCAAATGTTCTGCTGTGTGGGACTGTATGAAATGTCCTACACCAAGCAAAACACTTGACCCCAAGATGGGCATCCATGTTCATGGAGGTCCACATGTCTGCAGTTAAGCTTACAGATGTGCTTTCTCCAGTTTCTGCTTTGCCTTCTCTTCAGCCTCTTATACCGTTTCTCCACCACAGCTTGTAAGGCCTGGTGAGTAGGCAAGATGTAGGTTGGGTCCAGCTTCTGTACGAGTGCCCTGAAGCCTTTGTCCTCCACCACTTTAAATGGTTGAGTGTCAAGCACAGCCATGTCAACCAGTGCCTTGTCCAACTCAGCTTGCCGACCTTACAATGAAAGTATGCAAACATTATTATTTAAAAGTATACATTTCAGTTGTTTTTCAGTTTTACAGCGATACGTTGACATACATATAGCTATTCACAGTTTGAGCAGTGAATCAGAACCCTTTTTAAAGCCTTGACATATTGAAATGCCCAAGCCCTTCGAAATTCCCGCGGAGCAGGGCAACACGCGATATAACGTAACAAGGCCTTGCCCACAATAGTCACGTGATTGTGGACGTGCCGAATCAGGGATCGATACACTGTCTCGGAACACTTCGCCTCTTGTTCTGATGTCAGCCAGTGGAGGAGTTTGATCCAGTACCTTCTTCACAATAAGATTGAAACTGTGGGCTAAACATGGCACATTTCTGACAGCCAACAGTTTGGCACAAAGGATCATATTGGATGCATTGTCTGTGATTAAACAGTGCACTTTCTCTCTCTCAAGCTCCACTGATTTATCTGCAGCTCCATGGCATGTTTTCCTCTTCAAATATGTCACTAATGTACAATAAGAACAGTAGGGGGCTGAGGGCTGAGCCCTGTGGAACACCGGCTTCTGGGCTAAATCTGTTGGACATTGTGGCTCCCACTCTTACTCAAATCTCTCTGTCCTTTAAAAAACTGTTTAAAAGCACCACCATCTGCTGTGGGAGTTTAAGGTTATGGTCCAGCAGCCTGTATATGAGTCCTTCATGCCACATTTTATCAAATGCTTTTTCAATGTCAAAAAAGACTCCAATTGTTACCATTTTAATGTTAAAACACCTTTGGACATCTTCTACCTTCCAGAATACTGCCTGGTGGACCCCCAAAACTCCCAGAGCATCAAAATGTTTTTGAAGCCTGTCAGCCAGCACTCTCTCCAGTAGTTTGCCCACAGTGCTCAGGAGGCTAATCGGTCTGTAGTTGGCTGCCAGGTGAGGGTCTTTGTTTGGTTTGGGGATCATTAATACCAGAGCTGATTTCCAGGGCTTTGGGAAGTAACCGGCATGGAGGCAGAGAGTAAAGAGGTCTGGTTCACAACGTCCCACCTTCAGTTTTTGCTTCGGTTCAAACTAGACTCTGACGAAATGAGTGGTCGCGGCAAGGGAGGAAAATAGTTGAGTCACCTGAACCCGTCAGTGCCCGCGAGGGCAGAGAGCCCAATGGCTCCCCTCAGCAACACGCCCAGGTACTCTGACAAGTTTGGCCAGAACTGGGTGCGGCTGAAGTACACAGGTGAGAGCGACCTTCCCACCAGAGACTATGTCAGTCAGAGCCTTTTGTTTGATTCTTGCTGGATCAATGCCACAGACATTTACTCTTTCATTGCTCTACCAAATAGAAGAGACTTTGAACTGTGTTTCTTCCATGAGGCTCCTTTAAGGCGCTTCCTGGAAATTCAAGCAGCTAAACATGCTGAGGAAAAATGGAGAGATTGGACTACTGAATCATCCATACAAACTGATGTCATCACTCTGGTAGTCAAATTCTGGACCGGCAGAATATCCGACCATGACATTAATCTATATTTACAAAGATACTGCACTATTCTACATTGCACTAAACCACTGGATAAATTTGGCATCTGGTACGGAGTCAGAAAGTACAAGGTCAAGATGCACAAAGACAGAACCGGTCAAAATATTGCAATACCAAGTTCCATCTCTCTTGGACCGTACAACGGTCGCATCATATACCCCGGACAGTCATCCAGCTGCTTCATATGCAACAGTACCGACCATCAGGCTAAACAATGTCACACTGTCAAATGCTGGAAGTGCGGCGGTTTGGGTCACAAGGCCAAAGACTGTTCAGCAGAAGGCTTGTGCAGCCTGTGTGGAGGAACAGGTCACACCTTCTTCGCCTGCCCTGACTCCTATGCAAACAAAGCAAGAGCACAGCAGCAGCCGAGTCTACCGCCGACACACCAGCGGCCGCCCAGTCGGTCGTCGGATGAGCAGCCTGACACTCCATCTGTCCAGTTGCCGCAGCCCAGCAGTCACCCTGCCTATCAGCAGCAGCCCTCCAGAGAGTTCACCATTGAGCATCGTAAGCGGCAGCCCCGCCCTCAGCAGCAGCGAGACACTCCACCTGTCCAGCAGATGCAGGAGCAGCCCAGCACTCAGCTGGCTCAGCGGCAGCCCCATCCTCAGCAGCAGCGTGACACTCCACCCGTGCAGCAGCTGCAACAGCAGCAGCAGCTTCCTGTAGCGGAGCTACAGCCACCAGCCCCTCCTGACGACATTTCCTCTTTGTCAGGTGAGGGCAATTTAGTTATTGACAGTGAAGAAGAGGGTGATAACAGTGATGTAGAGAGTGTTGATGAATATGATGATCAAAGATATGAAAGTGCCAGCGAGAGCCCCAGCTCTGAGTTCAGTAGTGAGATGTTGACAGCTGGCCAACGAGCCAGCAGCACCCCCCTCCCTTCTCCCCCTGATGCAGAGTCTGCTTCATCTGAGAGTAGCTCCTTCTCCCCCACACCTGAGTTTCCTGCTTCGACCAGTAATAATTCAAACAGTGAGGTCCTGACTGAGTTAGTTGGAAAGAAAAGGCCAGCTCACTTTACCTCCCATAAAAAGGAGAAACGGCTGGATGACAAGCCTACACCTTAAGACTGACATAAACTACCATGGGTTTTCTTAAAGTTGCCACCTGGAACGCTCGTGGTATTCAGTCTATGTCATTAAGAAAAGAAAAAATTGAATATCTTCTTAATACTGACTTTGATATCTTATGTACTCAAGAACTGAGACTGACTACGAACAATGATGTTGAAAATGTTAATAAACTGTGGCAAAAAGGGAAATGTGTAACATCTATAGGTGAAAGTAAAGCTGATGGTGTTGGTATATTTTTCAGACATCATGATGTTAACATAATCAGAAGAAGAGATATTATTCCAGGAAGACTTCTGATGCTAGATTGTTATTATCAAGGTGAAAAATATCGCATTATTAACCTGTACACTGCACCAGATGCTCGTAAGAAGGTCCAGTTATTTAAAAGACTTCGAGAATTGTTACTGGTTGGATATAAAATTATTTTATGTGGTGATTTTAATACAGTAACAGATGAAAATGACAGGTGCAGCACAATAGCATTTAAACTGAGCCAAGAAGGTAAACTCTTAAAAGAAATCTGTAATGAAGCTAAATTAACAGATGTATGTAGAGCTGTTCATCCTTCTGGTCTTCTTTTTACAAGGTTTGACAGTAAAACCAAAACTCGTATCGATAGAATTTATGTGTCTTCACATTTTAATGTATCTCATTATTCTGCTGTTTTCAGTGACTTCTCTGATCACTTCTTAGTGAAAACATTTCTGTCATGTGGAACCCCCACTAACAGAGGTTTCTGGAAACTTAACACCCAGTGTTTAAAGCATATAGATTTATTAATAGAACTGAAACAAGAAATCCATAAAATAATACAGCTAAAAAGTTTATCCAAATCTGATATTAAATTGTGGGAAATATTAAAACATAGAATAAAAGACTTCTTTAAATATAAATGTAGAGAAATAAATGTAGTTAGAAATATAAATTATGATACATTAATGAAGACATATATTAATCTTAAACAGAAGAAGGAACGATCTATTGCAGAGGAAGAAACTATGTCAGATAGTAAATTCCAACTAGATAAATATAACAATGAACTGTTGTTTGGTATCTATAATCAGTCAGAATTTGAGGGCAGTGGAAATTTAATTCATGCAATTAAATCAAGACACAAACAAATCCAAAATAAATTTATTAAATCTATTAAAAATAATTTAGGTGATACTGTCCATGGTGAAATGCAGAAAAGAGAAGTGATCAGAGACCTTTGTGCTGACGCATATAAAAAAATAGAAGTAGACACTGACTGTGTAAATATTTTGTTAAAACATGTCCCTTTATACAGCTCTCTGACCTTCACTGAACTAACTGGTAATATTCGAAAAGATGAAGTGGTGAATGCTATTCAACAACTGAACTCTGGTAAAAGTCCTGGTCCAGATGGACTGCCCACTGAGTTTTATCAGTTATATATCGATGATGTAATTAACCTCCTTACTGCGATGTTTAACGAAGGTTTAAACAGCGGCTGTATGGGGGACTCATTTTATCAAGGAGTTTTATGTTTGTTGTATAAGAAAGGTGATGACACTGACATAGATAACTACAGACATATAACTATTATGAATACAGATTATAAGATACTTGCTAAAATAATTATGAATAGATTACATGATATATTAGATAAAATTATAGATAAGGAACAAACCTGTGCAATTAAAGGGAGATTAATGTGGGATAACCTGAGCATCCTTAGAGAAACTGTGTACAAACCAGACAAAGGATTCTTTATCATTGGGCTGGATCAAAAGAAAGCCTTTGATTACATTTCCAGAGATTATCTCTGGGCTGTTATGAAGGCTTATGGTTTCCCTGGTGACTTTATTCATTTAGTTAAGTGTCTGTATGTGAAGTCAAGTGTCTGTGTTAATGTAAATGGTGTTTTATCTGAACCCTTTGAGGTCGAGAGAGGGGTCAAACAGGGCTGCCCGCTTAGTGCTGCTTTGTACATTTTGGCTATAAGCCCTTTAATCAAAATAATCAACTCTGAAAGTTTGATCTCTGGTATATGTGTGGGTCACATGCCCAAGTTTACAACAATTGCTTACGCTGATGATGTCACTGTTATTATAAAGAACCAATTGGAAATGGATGTTCTAACTAATCATTTAAATCTGTATGAACTAGCATCTGGTGCTAAGTTGAACCATAGTAAAACAGAGGGAGTTTGGATCGGAGACGAGAGGGACAAACCTAACATTAATGTTCAAATTAATCATGAAATAAAAATTTTGGGTATAACATTCTGTAGTAATGATTGTAGTGAAAGAAACTGGGAGCAAAAATTGACTGACACCAAAGAAGAAGTAAAAAAATGGGAAAACAAAGGTACCAGTTATAAAACCAGAATCAACATCATTAAAACTTTCATCCTGTCCAAACTCCTCTTTCTGGCTAACATCTTTCCTCCATCAGAGAAAATGATTATGAAATTAAATGAACAGTGTGTTAATCTAGTGTGGGGTACAACCAGAGAGGTCACTAAAAGAGAAATAATGTTTAAAGGTAAGGAATATGGGGGTTTGGGGGCTGTAGACCTGGGCATTAAATTAAAGGTCGCTTTTGTTAGAAATGTGTCTGCTGCATTCCTCAGAAATGCTCTCTGGATAGGGAACAGATCACTGTGGAGAAAAAGGAGAGGGAGAGACCGAACTGGCCCATATTATAAATTATTATATGCTGATTATCTAATGGAACACTAACATTTAAATATTGATTGGAGTAGTTCATCCAGCAAACATATTTTTAATACAATTAATAATTATAAATATGGAGGCCTTATAAAATATAAATACATATCTGATAATTATAGCAATGAAGTGATAAATATATTAAAAAATAAATCCATGTCAGAGAGCATTAGAGACAACAGATGGCTGACATCAGTGGGCAGACTCCCAGTGAGAGCAGTTGTTTCATGGAGTTGTTACGTTACCACCAAAATATGTCCAATGATCAACTGCTCCGAGCCTGAAACTCAAGAACATCTGCTAATGAACTGTTACAGAGCACAAGAGGTGTGGAGCATTTTAAAAGGTCTGGGTGTCAATTTTAAAATATGCTACAAATCTGTTATGTATGGACTTTTGGATGAGAAGATGCCCCCGAAACACAAAGAGCTGTTTCAAATGATCATCAGTGTAGTTTGTGTTAAAATATGGAAAACAAGATGTGCCATGACTCTACATCAGACTGTCATAGACAGCAACATGGTCGTGAGGCAGGTACTCACAGACCTCCGGAGGAGGAAAACAATGGACAAATCTAAGTGCCTCCCCTGGCACATCTTGGATCTGTAACTCTGACTAAAGGACACTTCCCATCCTTTTGGTTGTATTGCTGTCATGTATTGCGTTATCTAATTTGTATGCTGATAAATTCCGTCTGTACTTGTATTTGAAATTAAATAAAGTTTATAAATAATAAAAAAAAAAAAGTAAAGAGGTCTGCAAGTTTAGCCAGGAATTCTATTGATGATTCTTTGATGAGTCGATTGTCCATTCCATCTTTAAGGGGTTTAACTTTTTAAGTTTTTTAAAATGTTGTTGAAGCTCTGTTATTGAGACAGCTTTTATTAGAGGGTTGTTGGTGTCTATGTTTGTTGTTGGCAGATGGGTAGGCAGAAAAACCTGTCGCTCTACAAATTCCTTTCACTCTGGATCAAATAGAGGGTCATCTGAACATCAATGGACATTTTGCAGGTGCTCTTTAAAAACATTAGCCTTTTCTTAGTCTTCCTCTATCATCTGGCCGTTATGCCTTAATACTGAAATTTGTGAATTATTTTTCTTTCCATTTAGTTGATGGATTTTCTGCCTGGATTCGGGTCGTTATTTAGATCATGTTATTTCTCGCTCCCTTCTGATTTGTGTTTGTATTTGGTGGATTGGAAATACAGCGGTCTGTCGCTTTAAAAACAGAGGGATGGGAAACTCTTCTAGCTGCCCTGTCTTCAACTACGTCCGCAGAATGGCTGTATATACTTAAGTTCTCTGAGCAAGAGATATCACTTTTTCTTCGGAACAAAGGGGATTCGGAAAAAAAAAATGAGTGGTCGCGGTAAGGGAGGCAAAGGACTCGGTAAAGGAGGCGCTAAGCGTCACCGTAAAGTTCTCCGTGATAACATCCAGGGAATCACCAAACCCGCCATCCGCCGTCTGGCTCGCCGCGGCGGTGTGAAGCGTATCTCCGGTCTCATCTACGAGGAGACCCGCGGGGTGCTCAAGGTCTTCCTGGAGAACGTCATCCGTGACGCCGTCACCTACACCGAGCACGCCAAGAGGAAGACGGTCACCGCCATGGATGTGGTGTACGCTCTCAAGAGGCAGGGCCGCAC